TTTTTTTGAAAATTATTATCAATCACAGTGTTTTGTTTTTTTGTGTGTATAGGTAAAATTACCTAGGTTTACCAATTACGATCTTTTTTTTTGCCTGTTTGGATTGAATTATTTTGTCATGATTGTGGTGAATAGAAGATTCTCTCTCTCTCTATTTGACGCATTTCAAAAGTGTTGAAATTAAATTATTTTCTATAATTAATTAGTTAATTGAAAAATTTCAATTGTAAATTGTTTACAGTGCATAGTGATGATGATTTAGCATTGGATGCATTTTATGCTCTTTTGTTTAGATGTTGATAATTTTTTTTTTCGTGATAAATTATGGAAATAATTGGCAAACCAAAAAAAAAAAAAAAAAAAATGTACAGTTATATATCAGAGTTGTGTTTTATCGTCGATGATGTCATCTTCGATTTTTTTTTCAAATTTTGCACTGATGATAAAAAAAAACCACGACGATGACAAGAGTTTCGAATTAAAGATGAAAAAAAAAAATTTTTTTTTCTTCTACTACACATTTTAGGATGTATATTGCCTCTATATATGTCGGTGGTTCCATCCAATCTATATATCCTATGCCTATGGTAGTATATGATGATGATAATGATGTATATCTAATCTATATGGACAATCTATCTATCAATCCAAAAGTTTGAGTTCGAGATGAGTTCGAGATGATTTTTTTTTTTCTTTACATGGTGACATCAACTATGAAAATTACAATTTTTTCATGATTAGATCTTTTAATTTTTTTTTTCATTCATCTTTCATTCAATGAATTGTGGACTAGGAGTAGGAGTAGGAATAAGAGGATGACAAGGAGGAGTGGAAGGTGAATTTTGATTTTTTTTTTTTTTTGATTACTCTATTTGCCAACCAACTGATTTTCAATTAAAAATTTTTTCAATTTAAATATATCCCCAATATATGTATGATGATCATAGTGAAATTAGTCCATCATCATTCGAAGAAGAACGAAAAAGCGAAAAATTTACAAATTTAATTTGTGTGCGTGTGTGTGTGTGTGTCAACTGGACACCGAAAATAATGTTGCACCAAATGAGAAACCAAAAAAAAATAAAAAAATAAAACCGCCACAACACAATAACCGTTGTTCCGGTCTATTCAAACTTTTTTTTTTGGCTAACTAACTTGAACCCCCCCCCCAAAAACTAAAAAAACTTGATTACTACTTTTAGTTGAAATATCAATAAATCACTTGAAAAAAAAGAGACATTTTGTCATTTTCCCGTGCTTACTGAACTCATCATCATCATCATCAACATCAAGATGATGATCATCAAATGGGATAGAAAAAAAAACTTTGACGATTAATATTTTGTCATCATCATCATCATCATCATCAGTGTGGTAGTCGATTGGCAGATCATAAAAGTGTGATAATCAAAACATTACCGATATATAATTTTTATATATACCGGACCTAATCATCATCATCATCCTCATCATTTTTAATCTAAAATATCATTCATTTTTTTTTTGAGAAATGATCAGAAAAATGTAGAAGAAGAAGAAAAAAACATGAAAATAAATAGGTCACAATTTTTCAAGAAAATGATAAAAAAAAAAATTTTCATAAGATACATTTTCAAGATAGATTTTTGAATTGAAATGTGCGACATTATCATCATCATCAGCATTATTATGGAATCATCAGTAAAGTAAATCCATTTTAGACTCGCACACACACACACACACACAGTGAAACAGTTACAAATGTTTCAAATAACGAAATGAAAAACTACAGTAACTAAACTATATTGAGATGAAATCATTAAAAAAAAATGAACAGAAAATTTATTTTTGTTGTTGTTGTTGTTGTTTTTGTTCAATCGATTGAAGATCATCAAAAATTTTTGGAGATATGTTTGTGTGTGTGTGTGTGCGTATGAACGCAAAGTAACGGTAGTGTACGAATGAAAAAAAAAACATTCAGGTTGATTAAAGATTATAAATTGATTTGATATGATGATGATGATTTTACCTGTTGTTGATTATTATTGATTTAGCCATTTAGCTCCTCTTGCCACAATTTACCTTGTTGTTGTCGTGGTTGTCGTCAATATTTCTGTTTCTAAATTATGAGAATTTCTTCGTTGACTATATACACACACACACACACACACATTGATCCATGGATATGGTTGAATTTTCTTAAAAAAAAGATGAAGAAATTTTCAATTTTTTTCAATTCCATTTTTGAATAAATAATCATTGCACCTTGGCGCAATAATACAGACAAACACACAAATGATAAGAAACAACAACAACAACGACGACAACAACAACAACGACGACGACAACAACAACGACGACGACGACGACAACAACAACAACAACAAAAAAGAAAAAATAAAACTTAAAAAAAAATCTATAACATTAATCTTTGGCCACGATTTGCATCGATAATTAAAATGTATGTATAACACACACACATGTATTTTTTTTGTCTTGTGTTTGTACAACGAAGAAGAAGACGAAAAAAAAACTTTACAACTTTTTTTTTGTCTGTTGATACATTGAATCTTTACATGAAGAAATATATATGAAACAAGCCGAAAAAAATGATGATGATAATTTATAATCAAAAAAAAAAAAAAAAAAAATGATGATGATGATGACAAAGTGAAACTGGAATATTTGCAGTGCAAAAAAAAAGAAAAGAAAAAAAAAACGTTATTTGCATTTTATTCATCTTGTTCATTAGTCAAAAAAAAAACTGATGGTGGTAAAAATTTACCAACAAAAAAAAAATCCCCTTTAACATTGAATCGTTTTATAAGAATTTTGTGAATCTGATGATGGTGGTGGCGGTGGTGATGGTGTGGTCGCTATACACATCTATTATTTATGACCATCATCATCATAAACATTTACCCAAAAACGTTTAACTAAACCCCAAACACACACACAGAGAGAGAAATTTTGATCTGTTTTAGATCAATGAATGATGAATATAATTTATGTGAACACAGAAAAATTTTTTTTTTTTTTTTTTGAAATTCAATGACATGATTTGACATTTTTTGTGTGTGTGTGAGTGAAGCTAAAATCCATTTCATTCATATTTTCTCATCATCTTTTTATATATCGATTATTATTATTACTGATCACTGATTATTGATCAATTGAAATATCGATAATAACAGCGAAAAAAAAAAACCAAAAAAAAAACAAAATTGAAATAGAAATTCTGTCCATAAAAACACACACACACACTGATAACCGTCATCATCGTTTTTTATTTTTACTGAAGAAAAAAAAAATATTTTTTCGACCATCAAAAGATTGATGAACAAAAAAAAATATGATCCTCTTCATCATCTTGTTGTTGTTGTTGTTATTCGTTGAAGCAATTACTGACCTTCAAACACATCACACATCCTATTGAATGCACACCAAAAGGATATATAATGCCACAACAACAACAACAACAACAAAAGTAAAGTAGAAACAAAAAATTAGCATTTTATAGGTTACACACACACACACATTCATATATACATATAGAACACACATTGACTAATAATAATAATAATAAGCTATAAAGAAAGAAAGAAAAAAAAAATTTTTGTGGCCACAAAAAATTGAAATATATACCTCCATCTCATCATCATCATCATCATTATCAATAGTGGGAATTTTTGTTGTTCTTTTTTTTTGTCAACGTTTTTTACGTGCTTTCATATATATGAACGAGTAAAGCTTTTTCTTTTTCGGACCATTTTTTTTTGTTTGATTCATCAATACATAGACACACACACACACACACATACAGGTAAACAACATCAAATAATCGGATACACAATTGACGACGACAAAGACGACAATCAATTTATGATTTTTCCACGAATGATTAGCGATTCGTTTAAAATCAGAGAGAGAGAGAGAGAAAAAAAATTTTATGTGAAGCTCAACAGGTCCACAATAAAACTTTTTTTTTTTCGTCTTTGCCAAAAAAAACAACAACAACAACAACAAACCAGATAATAAGATCGTTTTCGATATATTTATTAGATATTTTGAGGCGAAAAAAAAATTTTTTTTTTTCGACATCCAGACATCAAGAAAAAAGCAAAAAGTCTTATTTGTATGTCTCAAGCAGTAGTAGCAGTGGTAGTAGTAGTAGGATGATGATGATGATGAAGCGTAAATCTTGACCATTAATGAGTTTTAAAATTATAAATTTTTTTTTTTCGTTCGAAAAAAAAGAGTAAAGCACACACTAAAAAAAAAAAGATTGTTGAATCTCAGATCTGGTGTGATTTTTATCGTTTTTTTTTCTGTCGTTTAACACTCAATCGAGTTTTCTTGTTGTTGGTTCATTTTATTGCACACACAAAAAAAAGATTGAAACCATAGAATAATCATGATATGGATCAGATTTGTTCACTCTGTAGACGATTTAGACTTTATAAAATATATAAATAAATAAATATAAACGCAAACGATAATCCAATGATTTATTATAATCATAATTAGAAGAAGATGAAGAAAAATTAAGACAAGAAAAATCTACACAAACACATGATGACATAGACTCCCCATCAAGGTATTTTCGATTTTTCAAATTAAAATTTTTTTATTTCATTTTCACATGTTCATAAAGAGATGATGATGATGATGATGATCTCGATCTGATTTGTTTTGTTGTTGTTGTTGTTGTTGTCCATATTTGTCATCGTTACACGTTTTTTTTGACCTAAAAAACATATGATCATCTTTCTTTCTTTATCATCCAACAAATAGATTGAATTAATCAATGACAAACGTACACACACACACACATATTATCATCATCATCCATTTAGTTTAGTTTTTTCATTCAATTTATTTTATAATTCAATTTCATTCACATAGGGAAACTTGACAACAACAAGGCAGAAGAAAGAATAGGAAAAATTTTCATTTTTGTTTCGCATTTTGGAATGTTTGGAAAAAACGAAAAAAAAACATAAATCAATAAATCAACAGAAATCAATAAAATGAAAAGATAATTGATTATTTTAGATTGTTAGATTATTAGTTGTTGTTGTTGTTGTTGTTGGCGTTTGACTAGTATTTGCCGAAATTAGATGAATCGTTTCATAGCCTTCATCATCAAATGTTTGACGATTGTTTTTATTGGATTCATTCGGAAACAATTGTTGCAATTCAACTTGTTGCTGTAAATCATCATCATCACCGTGTTTGATTATTGATCGTTTATCCAATCGATTATTGGGAGCATGATGATTATTATGATTTTTATTATCAAATGATATTGGTGAATAATTTTATTATTATTATGAGAATTATTCTTATCCTGATGGCAATCATAATCATCTTCAACACAACAATTATCGATAGTCATTCCATCATCATCATTATCATCATCATCACCATTTCCTTTTCCATCGCATGTATTTTCAATCAATTTTGTATATTTATATTCTAATGAACGATTCTTATTCCAGAAATAGAATACAAGCAATAAAAGTAATAGACCAGATACCATAGCTATTGCTATGCCGATTTGAACTTGTTTCGGTAACAATAATGAACAAGGTCGTCTTATTACATATTTTGTTGCAGTCGTATCGTTTGTTTGGGATTTTTTCATTACACAACCTTTAGGATTAACATAATGAATCTGTTGTGAACCATCAATACATTCACCAATGACTGTTTCATAATCATTTGAATATGGACGACAAAGACGACAAGCAGCAGCTGTACCGGTTTCGATTAACAGATGAAAATCACATCCATTACATGTTCCATCGGGACAAGAATTCGGTGTCTTTATTATGGCCATTTCTTTTCCTGGCATACATCTCATTGTGATTGTCAATTTTCTTCCCGTGAGACATACCGTTGTTGGTGAATTAGTTTTGAAAAATAAATGAAAATCTTTATCATATTTATTTGCATCCGGACTATTGAGGAATTCATCATGTATTGAAATGTTTGCATAAGATGTTTGTCGTGTAATCAACAATAGTTCATCGCCTATAATTAATTAATAAATCAAAAATAAGAATTAATAATAATAAAATACACAAATATAGTACTACTACAACATACCTAGACTAGCTGATTGTGCTGTAAATATTTTCGATCCATCCGGTATGATTGTTGAACGACATATAAATGAACGAACACCAGATGAATCATCGGCAAATACTGTAATATTATTCAAACATGTTGATAAATGATCACGTTTTCTATGGCCACAAAGACTAATTTGAAACATATTCATATATTGAGTACCACCAGATGTGAATAGATTGATGCCTTTATAAATAATAGGCTGTTCAAGTTCATTTAGATCATAATGATCTTGATGATCAAAAGTGACTAAACAATTACTATAACAAATATTTGCATCATTGTCTGAATGAAGATTTTCACCACAAGCCACACAAGATTCAATTCCAACGGGTAATCCATCTCTATTATTGTTGTTGTTGTTGTTTAGAATATAATTTTCAGGACAATTTTCACAACGATAATTATTATTATTCATCAATAATTCTTGACCTGAATCATTTCTACCAGTTGTATTCATTACCATACGATGTAGATATTGTCCATTTGGACAGGAAATACATTCAGTTAATGATGATGATGATAAAGATGAATCAATTATCGTTGGACAACTTTGACAACGGATAGCTGAACCAATAGCAGAACCAGTTAATAATAGTGAATGAATCTTAGCATATGATTGAAAGCTTGTTGTACGTTTAAAAATCCAGCTAAAAGTCAATGAAATATTTCGTCGAATTTTGTGACGAAAAACAGTTCGAGCATCTGTAGATTGTGTCCATTCTTTGATCACTTGATTGATGGTCTGCTGTGAAAATGAAAAGTATTTTTTCTTATTATTATTACTACCACTATTGATGTTGATATCACTGGTGGTGGATTGTTGTTGAATAAAATCTTTTTCATTTGATTGTAGATCGCTTTCATCAGATAGAGTTTCAACAAATAAAAATAAACATTGATCATCATCGTCATCATCATCATTGTTGTTGTTTTGGTTGCAGTTAAGTTCAAAATCAAAAGTCAATTCGTTTTGTTCGGCTGAACGAAAATAAGGTATGGCCAATGATAGAATTAAATAGGCATTCAATGGCGCTGATGCTCCAGTTCGAATATAATCATCAAATGTTTGCCATGCAATCGTTGAAATACATTCACCTTTTGCGTCGAAAATAGTAGCATCATTACTGCTTTTCGCATTATAAACAAGATCATCATCGCTTCGAAAACATTGTCGACTAAAATAAGAATTCAAATAGACAGAATTTTCAGCAAAAAAATCTTCATGAACATTGAACATGTTGTGGACAGGATGATGAGACCATCCTGGCAATGAATTATTCCAGTGACGAACAGATAGAGCATAATATGGATTTGTCATTGGTGAACATGGTTGACATTTGACAATTTTTTCATCTCTATAATAACCTTCGGGACAGAATTGACAAAATTTTCCATTTGATTCGGATTTAATTTCCATACCAAGATCACAATCGATTGTATGATTAGATAATGTACAATTGATTATGCTATTTCCACGTGGAAACACACTGTTAGAATCCACACAAATACGTGGTTCAATCCATCGATATTCGATTTCTTGTTTCAAACTGTGAGGATCGCAAGCATTTTTTGGTACAGCGAAAAAATCATTGCTACCACAAACTGGTCTTTTTGAACAATATGTTGAACCGACAACAGCGTATTCTTTGATAAGATCGCATTTGGAACAACGAATAGAACCTGAACCATTGAAAGCAGTGTTTTGTGGACAAAGTAAACATTCTTTCATTCCAGCTTCAGGTGCATATGTTCCAGCTTCACATGGAGTACATTCGGAAGCATAAGCAACACCTTCAATAATGATCTTTTCAATTCGGATGATTCCAATAGTGGAAAGCATATTTTGCAACAAATTTTCCTGATACGAATTACCTTGATTTTGGAAGCCATCAAAATTTATCGGACTATGGCCATAGCTGTCAAAATTCATCATATTCGATACGGAAAAATAATTACGAAAATTTTTGATGACAACACTTTTCCAGGTAAATATATATAAACCCGGTGTTTGAAGTGGCAATTCAATCGTTTCGAATTTTCTTTCCATAGTAGTCATAGGAAATTTTATGTTTGTATCGATATCATTTTCAATGACACCGATACCATCATAAAGGCGATAATTAAAGGTGAACAATAATGATAATGGCATATTGTTCGGCGTTTTATAATGATAAGTAAAACGAAGCCGGCCACGTTTTACTACTTTGGCTGTGTACGTAACAATCGATATACATCCACTGTTTGCATTCGCCTGTTTCATATCGATACGAAGAATTAATGTTCCTGTTGTATTGTCCACATACCATCCTAACACCATTAAATGAATCAAAGACAATTATGAATCAGAATTTTTCAGCTGATCAAACTTACCTGAACAAAGGCCATCTGCAATGTTATCATGTCCTCTATATTCGGTTTTCACATGAAAACCATCGGGAAGAGAATTTGGTAAACTTTTGAAATTATCAAATACGATTCCACCACTCAAGGAATAATGGCCAGGTTGACAATCTTCACAAAATAATGATGATTTATTAAAAAATTGACCACCTTCACATGATGTATCTGTGTTTATTTTAATAGAGGAAAAAAAATTGAAATCAAATTCAAATTATAAATGCAAACGACGAATAATTTACTTACAACAATTATGTATCCGTGTTGGAACATATGTTATAGATCGATTTGCACAATGATCCGGTGTATTCGGCACCAATACACGCCATTTACCACCAAATTCATCACATTCGGTAAAATCATATTTATAATCAGTCTGTTTAATCATCGGAATCGATAAAGAATAATTATTTAAATTCAAAATTCACAAACAAACACACTCACTGTTTTACTGCAAACAGAATCCGATTGTTGTTGAGATAAATGAGAAAATGCATATGTAATAACAATAAATAATGGAATAAATGATAAATAGATTTGTATAATAATACTGTTGTAATGTTCAATAATTTGCATTAATCGATTGATTGAGATCATTTTGTTTGACTAGATAAAATGATAATGACTAGAATAATTGAATTGTTTGTGTGTTATCGATTAAGATTATAATCGATAATTTGTTTGGATCATGACCGATTCGATGATTAAATGAATGATGAATGGCCTCGCAGTGTGTGTGTATGTTTGTCAATAAACAAACTAGACACAGCTGATTCTTTTGGCTCATCTTTTGATCAACGTGGCGCTACGTGTTGTTGCACATTTTGTGTGGCGTCGTGAAACAATTCATCATCATCATCATCATTATAATAATGGAAACAGTTTTACAAATTAAATCATTAAAGAATCGAATAGCACAAAATGATATCAGTGTAAAAAACTTGTTAAAGGTATGTGAATAACATTTTATTTATTGATTAATTGATTGATTGATTTTTTTTGGTTCGAATTTTCAGACCATTTCCGAATGTAATAGTGATCTACAAACATTAAATAAATTGAATACAGAATTATCGACACGTATGAACAACGTTCGACGAGATTTAAATGATTTTGAACATTTAGTTAAAGTTATTGAAGATGATGATCTTCGTTATCATATGAAAAATGATTTACAATCAATCAAGAATCAATATGAAATAAATATGGTTGTTGCACGTAAAGCGGTGCTTACCACACAGAAACAGTTGAATGATGAAACACGAGCCAAATTATTTGAACATTCCAAAAATCTAAGAAAACGTATCAATAACAATGGTATCGTGACTAGCGAAACAATGGCCAATAAATCCACAACATTAACTGATGATCTTTATTCAGTGAGTCGAATATTGGCTAATGAAGTGGAAAAATCGGGAAAAAATCTTGAAACATTGGTCCAATCATCAGCATTGGCAACAGAAACATCACAAGAATTACGTACAATGTCCAATTATATTGCTAATTCAAAAACATTATTATCAAAATATGGTCGTAGAGAAATGACGGATAAAATATTAACAATACTTGCATTGGGTTTCTTTTTCGGCTGTGTTATCTATGTACTAGTCAAAAGAATTTATTTAAGGTCATAATGTAATAAAGAAAAGAATTCTGTATTTTTTTTTAAATATTTTTTATTTTTATTCAAAAGTTTTTTTTTCATTTTATTACAAAAAAAAATGAATATTCACACACATGCTCACACAATATTTATGATTGGTATTTGTTCATATTAGTTCAATAGGCCAAATGTTCGTAATGTAAGTTTTTTTTTTGTTTCGAAATTGGTTGGTTGGTTGGTTGTTGTTGTTTTTGTTGTTGTTGATTAATTGATTGATTGGTTGGTTGTATATTTTTTTCTTCTTGTTCGGTTTTTTTTTTGGTGATTAATATGGAAAAATGATCAGATGAATCGAGAAATTAATATATAATTGCAGCAAAAAAACGAATGAACGAAAAGAAAAACGAAAGAAAGAGAGGAAATATTAAGAATTTGCAAAAAAACGAAAAGAAAAATAAATATCACAGTCGGAAATGAGGAAGAAAAAAAAGAAACGACGGCACAAAAAACGAAAGAAAAGAAAAGAGAAAACCTAAACATGTCAAATACAATATAGATGTGTGTGTGTGTGTGTGTTGGGTATCAATCGTCACCGTTAACATCAAGTATAAACTGTGTGTATGGATATCAAAACAAAACATAAAATGAAAGAAAACAAAGCGGGAAAATAATGAATTTCGTAAAGAAGAAAAAAATAATAATTGGACTTGAAATCTGAGAAGTAGATAGCGTTTGGAACTGGGATCACTGTGTGTCAATCAGTGCCAGACTGTTGTTGTTGGTGTTTGGTGTATCATCATGAATCGGGAGATGTTTGCTGCTGCTGTTGTGATTTGCCGTGTGTGAATAATTCTCTCTGTCTGTGTGTGTTTTTCAAATGGATGGCAATACAAATAGAAAAAAAGGATGAATGAATGAATCAAATAAATGAATATTCTTGATTCCTGTATCACAATTGATGATGATGATGATGATGATGATGATGATGATGATGAATTTTTCTTTCATTAGAAAAAAAAGAAAAATTATGGATGAAAAATTATGTTTGTTTCATCATTATGATGATACCGGATTGATGATGATGATCAATAATAATAGGCCACCATAAATGTGTATATGATGATAAGAGGCATATAACTCTATGTAATAATTATCCATCAAATGATGATGATGAAGCCGATTGATTAATAAATGAATAATGAATTCAGCTAGATCATAAGATAATGATAAGTTTCGAGGTTCTGGATGGATAATGATTATGTTTTGCAAATGATAATGATGTGTAAATTGAATTGTGTATGGTTGATGTGAACGTATTAATAGAAAAAAAATGGAACAATATCACTTTATATCCGTTTCACAATAATTTGTTTGTCAAATCTTCGTACATTTGGGTTTTTTTTATATGTCATTCACTTTAATCAATTCGTAATATCGTTTTCGTAGATTTATGATGATGATGATGAGTAGTGTGTATTAGTAGTAGTTGTAGTAGTAATATATAGTAGTGATTAATAGTCATGTAAAATCGATGAACGGATTAATTGATTCATTTCTCAATATAAATGAATGACACACAATCTCTTTAAAATCAAACAAATCAGATGTTGTTATTTTCAGTAATTTTCAATTCCACCATCATTAATGCCCATAGTGACATTTTCCAAGATTTGATTAACAAAATCGGCTGTTTTTCCTGCAATTTCCGCATCAATCCGATTGTTGATCTGTTGTAATATTTGATGTGGATCGGAAATCGATGTGATTCGATATTGAAATTTATCAGATAAATTACAATTTTGTGGTTGTGCTGTTTTTCTAAATCGAATGGCCATCTCAATCAGGCAACGGATCTGTTGAATTTTTATGATTAATCGGCCATGTTCCCGTTTTAATCCATGCAGTTTAATTTTATTAGCTTCATGTTGTGCTTTTTTCTTCAGCCTACAGGCTCTTGATGCAAGTTTATTCTTCTCTTTTCGAGATTTATTACGACAATTCATGGGCACTTCGGTAACAGGTGTCAATCTATTCAATATTTTGCCAAGTTTTTTTAGTTCAAGACCAATCTTAAGCAATTTAGTTGGATTAGCCGTCAAATCATTACCATCGCCTTTACGAGCTTTACCGGAATGTTTAACACCTTCAATCTGGCAATCCGGTGCAAATACCGGATCTGTAGTCTCTTTCAAGACATGTGGATCATCCTCATCCTTGTCATCGATGGGTCGTTGTTGTCGAGGACCTTTTGGACCTTTAGATTGAACATTATATTGCCAAAAATATCGTTTATCATGACCTTTACGTGATCGGCCCATATTCAATGACCATTTATTGTTTACATCATCAGAAATGGTCGCATTCAATAAATCAGAATTATTATAATCACCAAAAAAAGATTCATCATCATCTTCATCTTCGGAATCATCATTTTCATCGATGTTATTCGAATTTTTGGCCTGAACACTTGAATTTGATGCTTTCGATTGATGATCATTATCATTAGTGATCCAAACATTATTATTTTCACATGTTTGTTTTGGTTCAATTTTAACCATATCATAAATGCTTTCTACATCTTCTTCTTTGCAATCAACATGAGGAATATTGTTAATTGGATTGAGATTTTGATTCATATCATTATTATTATCGACCATTAACAATTTAGATTCGTTAACATGATCAATACTGACATTCATGTTGTTCATCATCATCATTTCTGAATTATTATCCGAATTATCATCGGAATCATTTTCTGAATGGCTTGCAAAACCTTCGTCAGAGATATCAGTACTCATTGAATCGTTACGAATACGATTGTTGGCCGTAGCAATCATGGTAGTGATAATGTTGCCATTATTATCATTATTATTATTAGGTAAACCAGCAATCATTTGAACCATTGTAGTACAAGATTCTTTTAGCTTATTATTATAATTGTTTCCAGACATTCTATTTGGTGGAAAAGATGGAATTGTCGAAGATGGACAGGAAATCGTTGTTGTGTTGTTCGTTTGAGAAATGTTTTGATTCGTATCATTCGAATTGTTGATATTATCATTATGATGATGAGTTGGAAATTTCAACGAGACTAGATTATTTGCCATTCGATTATCGAGAACAATTAGGCTATTCAATTCCGATTGATTAGCGATAAAATTGATTGTTTGTCTATTCACATCATTCACAATGGCAATATTATTATTATTAGGCTGTTGTCCTTGTAGATTTTGTGGACTAGAGTACTGATTCTGTTGTTGTTGGCGAGGTAATGACTGATTGATAACATTTTCTTGAATACCAAAAGAACCTTTATTATTTGTTGATGAGGTATCGTTTGTCTGTTGCATGACCATAAACAAATTGGACTGTTGTTGTTGTTGTTGGATTTTTCGTTGTTGTTGACAAAATAAGACCGAATCATCCACAAATGAATTCGAACAACTTGATTGGCCATTATTTTCGATTGCAATATTATTTTTGGCCAATAAAACTTTTGCCTGTTGATTAGCATTGAAATCCATTCCAAACTCTCCATTAGACCAGATTTTGTTAGAACGGCGCAAATGATTATGATTATCACTCGGAATTTCCATTGAATTCAATTGTGTTAATGTCATTTCTTGTATATGCTTGTTATTACCATTCAACAATGGGCTTAAAGGCATAGATTTTTGTTTTTTAGTATCAAAATAGTTTTCCATTATATAAACCTCGTTTTTAAGATCTGGTTCAAATTCAATATATTCATTATTTCCAAAATTGGACAAATCATTGTTCAAATTGATATTGTCAATAAATGGATCCGAGGTAAGCAATGAAAGATGATTATGGTTATTATATGAAAGTCCATTCGATTGTTCAGGCATAATATTCTGAGCAGAATTATTATTATTATAGAGATCATGACCATTCGAGATTATGTTTGGTGATGTTGATGATGATAATGGCAATAAAGATGAGATCTGCTGTTGTTGATTATTACAATTATTATCATCAGAACTATATAATCCATATTCCAAATATTTTCCATTTGTAATATCCAAATCATCATCCAGAATTGGATCTAAAGAATAAATTGAAACAAAAAAAAATAATAGTGGGAAAAAAACATTGCTAAAATATTCTACCTGGAATAAAGTTGAAATTTAAATCATTTTCAAATGAAAAATTGAATGATGTTTCCGTATTAAAATCATTGATATTTGATTGAAAATTTTGCAAATTATTACTACTACCACTACTATTATTTAAAATGGTCTGAACTGGAGGTAATGAATGAAACGAGGATGAAGAATTTAAATTATCATCACATCTATTATCGGCAAATGAACAACTACCAACAACAGGCAAATTATTATTGCTGATAATTTCGGCCATCTCTATATTGTTGTTGTTTCCAGTCGATATAAACTGTTGATTATTCATCATGAATAAATTTCCTTGCCCAAATGATGATGACGATGACGTTTGTTGTGGTGGCTGTTGTAATTGTTGTTGTTGGTGTTGATAATGTTGTACGAAAGTAATGTTTTTCTGTTGTTCATTACAACTATTGCCATTATGGTTATTTGGAATTGCCCCCATAAGATTGGCAGTACCTGTAGGATGATTTTCTCTTGCCATTTTTTTAGATATTGACTTTTGTTTTTTATTTCCAATTAGACAATGATCGGAATCAATTTCGTTTTCGTTCACGAATAATATCTTTGACGAATCGTGATGTAGATCCACTTTAATCGGAAAAATTGCAATTTTTTCTGCTGATAAATTATTATTCAATAAAATTTTCTTTAAACAATTATTCGTCGTCGTCGTGGTTTCTTGTCGTTTCCGTTTTCTTGTTCTTGGTGTTGTTGTCAAGGTATTATTTTTGATATTTTTTGTTATTTTACGTTTCGATTTCGATGAATATGGATGATCACTTTGTGTTGTTATAATTGTATGAAATTTTGTTGTTTCGTTTTTTATAATTGCTGCTGCTGCTGCTGATGATGACGATGATGGAGATTGATTATTATGGTCATCTAAATGAGAAAAAAAAGAGGAAGAATTAGAATTGATTGAAACATTAAAATTAAAACAATGAATCCATATAAACCAAATACAATTCACAAGTTTACCTTATAAAATCAGCAACAAATTAGAAATTTTTTTTTTCAATTGTCAAATTGTTATTTATCACATACACACACACACACACACACAATCTAAATATAACACAAGTTTATTATTCTAAATGAAAAACACAGTGATGATAAAGATGTGAGCATTGACTAGAAAATTGATCAGAATTTGTAAAAAAAATGTCAAATTTGTAAATGAGAAGGAGAAAAAAATCAACTTTTTTTTCGATGTGGTCTATGATGTTGTGTTGATGAATGACAAAAAAAAATCGTAATAATAAAGAAACCAAAAAAAAAATCATAAAAGGACTATCCACCACCAGCATCAATCATAGGTGGTGTCAATTTGCAATAATTGAAATTAACATCATCATCATCATCATAATAATCATTATAATAATTTATTATTGTCGATGATATCATCATCGTATTATCTTGACATTGATAATAATGATCAATTATTAAAATATTGATGAATGAAAAAAAATTCTTCTCGTACATCGTAATATCATCAAATCAATATATTGAAAAAATAGGGTATTTATGAAAAAAAACCTGTTTTATATATCTTAAATAAAATGCAATATAAAATGATTTTTGATATCAAATGAACAAAACACACACACACACAAACAAATGAAAATCAAGTTATCAATCAAGAGAAAACAAACAACAGTACTGTAGCATAACGGGTCAACAGGTTAGCAACAACAACAACAATCATGGAATCTGGAGAAAAAAAAATTCGTTGATCATTGCTGGTCATTGATTTATTTATGATGATGATAATAATAATCAGTCAATTATATTGTTGTGTATTAAAAAAAAATGATGTGTAAAGTAAAGTATAAAAAGTTGATCGACTTGATCAAGTCACTGTCAGTTTGTCGAATGATTCAATTCTAGGGAATAATTATCAAATTTTATTAAAGTATATCTATCAAACACACACACACATATATATAGAGTTTGTTGCTAGCTATTTCTTTCATATCGAAATGTAACGGTGTGGTATATTGTTGTTGTATGTGTATCCAAGGATCATAGAGAATTTTATTACATCTGTATGAAATGCAATGATTTTTTTTCTGTTATTTAGAAGAAGAAGAAAAAAAAACTAAAAACTCATTCTTTTTGATTTTCATCAATTTTTGTTGAGAGTGTCCCCCAATGTACTTGTTGATTATTGAAGGAGGGTCGTCATCATCATCATCATCATCAAGATATTATCGTCATGACAATTATATTTCAATGAACAAACATGTGTCTTGCACTCACTCACACACACCATCAACAGCATTCATGATTAACAACGTCTCTGGGGTTGAAGATTGATTGAAGCATAAGATTAGTTTTTTTTTCTTTCTTTATTATTTTTGGTTAGATTAATCATCATCATCATCATCATCATGCACACCAGTACCATGTGGTTTTTTTTTCACAGTCATTGTTCATCACATATATATCTCTATTATAAAATTTCTACATAAATAGTATATATATACATTTACACTGAAAAATCCACAGGTTATTGCCTAACTCAACAACAGTGATTGCATCAATATATCACCAAATAAAACAAAAAACGGATATTGATGTGAGATTTGAACCTTGAGAGATCATTATCATCCATCCATCGTATTATTATTGTTATTGACTGATGAAAAAAAAAAAAAAAATCTAAATCATTACAATCTACGAATAAATGAGAATGTCGAAGAAATGGAAATTATTTTATTTTGTCCATATCCTGTATGAAACATATATGCGTGTGTGTAATAAGAAATGTCGCAATAATAATCTATTACCGATTTTGTTTAGATCAAATAAACAAAAAAACAAAAAATTATGGTAATATCTCGTGATCAAATGATGATGATGATGATGACGTTCATATCCTTCAATCCATTTTTACTTTATCCAATATTAATGAAATGATGATGATGATGATGATAAAAACAACAAAATCACTCACACACAATAAAAGAGACAAATTAGACTTTTAGGCGACAATAACAAAAAAAAAACAGCAAATTGTTATCAATCTCAAAACAGAACAAACAAACAAACAAAAATCTTATGATGTCCAGGATTCTCACAATATTTTTAAGATACTAATTTCGAAATAAACATGACACAAAAAAAACCAAAATCAAGGTGATTCTCTTCTTATCCACAATTGGATCATAATTTTTCGTTATTTTTTTTTTTTTTTTTTGTAAACAAAATTTTCAATAGATTCCAATGATGCCCATCATCATTCCAATTTAATATATTGATAATGTCCAATTTGTTATCTATCGAATGGAAAAAAAACGTACAAACTATATTTAGCAAAACAAAAACAAAAAAAAAAACAAAATTTCAATTTTTGTTTATCAAACCAGTGAAGAAAAAAAAAAAACCGAATCAAACAGGATTATTATTGGTTTGGATTTCAAAAAAAAAAAAATTGTTTGATTAAACATAAAAAAATATATGACATTTCCGTATTTATCATCGATTGATTTACCAGAACCGGATATTTTGTATCCAAAAAAAAAAGAAACAAAGTTCTTATATTTGACCCTTATTATTATTATTATTGTTTCAACTTGAAAGGTACAAATACCTTAATAATAACACCATATGATTGCATCATATACACACACACAAAAAAATTATTAGAGTTCATTGTGACTTATCATCATCATCATCATGTTTATATATTTTTGATAAAAATATAGATGAATGATGATGATGAAATCATATCTCTATCTATAAATTAAATATATAAAATTATCTGTATCAGGCCAATGACGGCAAACAATCAACAATCATCAAGAGAGGATTTTTTTTTTGTCATTGGATACAAGAGTTGTTTTCGTTGTTGTTGTTGTTGTTGTTGCTGCTGCTGCTGCTGCTGCTGTGAATCATATGGTTTATATGTGATTCTTCTAATGTGATAACAAAATATCTAATAAAAGTACAATATATCTTGGATGATTGATGTGTATGTGTGTGCTGTGGTATAGGATAAATAAATTTGGTTGACAAATATCGTTTGAGTTCAATATAACAAACATATATGATCAATCAATAAGCCACGATTGTAATAGAAAAGAAGGGGCACGCATCTTTTTTTTCAAGAAAAGATGTTCAAAGTAATTGAAACACACAACAACAACAACAACAACAATACATCTACATTTAGAAATAAAGACAACAACAGAAAAAAAACATCCAGAGAGATCATTGGCAGAGACACTAATTATTGCCATGATTGTCGTTTTGCTTGTTCGTGATTGTAAAAATTCCATGTAAAACTTTGAACTCATCATCATCATCATTTTAAATTCGAGAAAAAGAGGCCTTAATATTTTACAAAGAATATTCTAATTGTCATTCTATCTTGGTGGGCTAAAGCTAAAAAAAAACATGATGATAAACTTTGGACAAATTACTTATTGTGATGCAATAATAATAATAACAAAAAAATAACCGTTTTCCAAATCAAAAAAACAATAACAACTATTACACATTAATGATTAACGTTAATCAAATCAAAAAAAAATGAGTCAATTTTCAATGGAAAAACAAAACAAGAACAACGATAAAAACAACACACACACACACATTACAATTACAATAATTTAGCTCTGTTTTTCTCCTCGAATGACAATGCAATTGTAATATCCATGCATATATTTTGATACTGTATTTTTTTTTTTTTTTGGTAATAAATAAAAAAGAAAAAAAAATACCGACCCATCCACACCAGTATAAAGTGCCAGAAATTATATAGTAGATGGGTTAGTGAACCACGGGTTGTTTTTCATGTAATAATCAATTTTTTTTATATATATAGAGAAAAAAAAAACTCCTAGAAAGAAAAAAACAAAAATAAAAATTCAGAAACGATGCATACAAATAAACACCAAAAACACACACACACACACACACAATTTGCTAGTTCATGGATCTCTTTTTTTTTCATTTTGGTTATTCATTTGAAAATGATTTCGAATCATAATAATTTCTACCATCATATTTAATCCATTGATGTATGTGTGTGTTTATGATCTGTCATTTTATACCGCATGATGATGATGATGATGATAATAATGTGACTGTGAATATAAACCACACACACACACACACACACACATGTATATCACGAGGTCGTTGATACAAAACTTTTTTTTTCTAGTTGAGCAACAACAACCGAAAAAAATGAAATCATTAGTGTGAAAAAAAACGAAATTAGATAAATAGATTCTTATCGCACATGACTCATGAATTTTGTAGTGGTTTGTTTAAAAGAATTTTTTTTCTCATGTTGATCTTGAGTTTTTTTTTCATTTCTTTTTTCACCATATTGTTAGTTGCTATGTGTGTGTGTGATGAAGGCCATCGTTTTGTTGTTTCTTCATCGTCAACATCATCAAGAATATCATTTGACGTATATGCGCGCGTGTGCACGCGCGTGTCTATTCTGTAAAATGTAAAAAAAGCTAAAAATAAAATTCTTGATTCAACAACATTGATCGAAAAAATCCAGGCGTACATACACACACACAGGATACACAGAGGATTCATTATCATCATATGAATATATATCCAATGGAAAACACAAGACAAAACACAATGTGATGCACGTGATTTTTTTTATCTATTGTTATTCATTTCATTTGTCGAAGCCTCGATCAAACAAACTATATAGATACATCCAGGTAAATAAACTCTAGATTCTTTTGGTTGCCAACACTGTTCATTTCAGTTGCTCATTAAATCAGGTTTACATAAGTAAACATTTTATTATTAAACAATCAATTTGTTTTTTCTTTGTTGTTGGCTATTGATGTACCCACAATCATCATCATGATTGTCATGATAAGGGCAGTAACATACATACCCACACATACACTAACAAACCAAATAAATGAATGATGATAAAACTTACTTGATAATGAATCATTTTGAGATTCATTTTTCGATGACGATGTTGCTGTTGTTGATGTGGATGATACGATTGATTTGTTCAACCCATTCTTTGTGTTATTGTTGTTGTCGTTGTCAAACGAATCCGGTGTATTTAATGAGGATAATATTGTTGTTGTTTTCGATAAACTATTGATTGATGATTGTTGTTGTTGTTGTTGATTAATTGATTTTTTTGAAATAGAATCAATAGACATTTCATTATGAGATTTATTCATGATGATCAATGATTCATTGTGATCATCATCATCATTATTATTATCGTTTTTTCTTCCGTTGTTGTTATTATCATCATTATCAATTTGTGATTTACCAATCAAATGAATTATGGATTTTTTCGAATGATCATAATGATGATGATGATGATGATTTGGAAATTTAGATGATGGAGACAATGAATGTTCCAAAATGGATTTCTTATTCGTTTCGTTGATCATTTCACAGTGGATTTTTTTTCTCTGGTCAAATATATAAAATTTTGTTGTACATACAGAGACACAAAATTAAATCGAAATTCAATTTCTTTGTCTTGATAATCACCTACAATTGAAAAAAAAGAACAAGAAAAAAAATCAATTCAAGTTCACCAGGAAGAAAAAGAATCATTCATTTTTAACTTTCGATCAAAAATGATATTTGATAAACATCATCGTCATCATCAATAAAAACAACGAAAAAAAAAATTCATCATAAGATCTCCGATGATAATCAATGATAATTAATAAACAACAAAAATGAAAATCTTGTTGTTTGGAAATTTTTTTTTGTTTTGTTTTGCATAATTGCAATCATCATTTAGCACCAACAAATAAAGATATCATCACATTATCACAGTCTTTAAATTTTTTTTTAATGATTAAAATATCAGATTTTTTTTTATTCAGAAAAAAATCATATGCTTTCTCTTACTGACGTGATCTATTATCTACTAGTTATTATTATTTCTGGTGTTGATTCATAAATATCGAGATTTGTCAATGTTGATTTCTGTATACTGTACACACTAACACACACACACACACACGGACAAAGTGTATGATTGGATTTTTTTAAATTTTAAATCAAAGTTGAAAAAAATTGTGAAACTAACCAAAAAAAAAAATAATAAAAATGGATCAGTGGTTGATTATGCAATTTGTGTGTTCAGTTAGAAATCAACAAGTGTCACAAATGAAACAACAACAACAACAAAAAATGTTTGCACTAATGCTAATGATGATGATGATGATGGTGGTGGTTTAAACATTGTTTGACCATTAAATGATAAATTTTCTATTACTGCTATAGAAAATACGGACATATGAAAGAAATTAATCCACGAGAAAGCATGTTGACCAAAAACTTGTTGAAACAAGATATGTGAGAAAAAAAACATAATCTGCCATTGAATTGTAGCAATTTCTTTGCAAAATGAACGAAAACAATTCAAAGATAATTATAATGACGAAATGAAAGAGTCAATGGTAAAAAAAACGAACAAAAAAAAGAGAGAGAAAAAGCCTGAATGAATGTGACTCTTTTTTTTATTTGTCCAAAAAATCCATCATCGTTATTATTATTATTTCAGGAACACGGCAGTATTTTTTTGTTTGTTTGTTTGAATTGAATATATGGAATATATTAAACAACAAGTATATACTGGTCAAACTAACTCTCAAATCCATTTTTTTCTCTTTCTCTCTCTCGCTCTCTTTTTACATGATGATCTAAGATGGCGCCTTGTGAAAAAATGAAAATGACATTATCGTATGAGAGAAAGAGGGAAAGAATGAAAATAATAGTGTATTTGAAATCTAGGAAACCATCAACATAATCATAATGGCCCTGGTTATCAATGATGATGATAATAATGAATGAATGTATATTAGTAGGCCACTAGGACATATGGCAAGTGTGGATCCAATATATACAACTGATTTCTCTTAGAGGGGCTTGTTGAAAAAAAAAATAAAATGTGCTTCTCATTCAATTTCATTCAAATCAAATCATGAATGAATGAGTGAATTCAAATTAAATTGAAAGAGAAAAAGAAAGAAATAGAAAAAAGAACGGGAAATGAAAATTGACTTTTAATGAAAAATAAAAAAAAAATCACACACAAGGTTGAAATACAACGGGTTATGTGCATGTGTGTTTGATGATCATTGAAATAACCACCACCACCATCATCATCATCATCAAGTGAATGAGTGTGTGTGTTTCACTTTCAAGGGCCAATTGGACATGTTGTTCAATATGATAATTATCATTATCTATTGGTTTGCAATTTACAGATTTTACTATTTGTATATATGAATGTAATGGTCATTAATTTTATTTCATATTCACCACTAATAACTAATCAATAATGATGATAATCGAAATAGTTTTTCTCATTTTTTTTTCTAGTGAAATCCTATGATCATTTTCTATTCACTATTGTTTTCGATATATTGCCATTAAGAGATATGTGCGTGTGTGTGAGAGAGAGTGGTTGGTTGGTTGGTGTTGGCGTCGATGTCATCATCATCGTCATTATTATTATCATTTAAATTGATGACAATTTCTATAAATTTTTTTCACACATAAAAAAATATATAACAATCGATTCAACGAAGTAACGAAACGGAAAAAATAAAATGATCTGGCCTGGCCTGAACGACCTGTTTTCGGAGAAATCAGAGGAGAAAAAAACTCAATTGTTGTCATTGTCAGCTCCAAATGATATATGGCTTAATTGTAAATAGAAAAAAAACGTTCCCATACAAAAGTAAAATGTTTGAAACACGTGCTGCAAAGAGCAAACCTGTTGAATATCGAATTCTAGATGAATATTTCAATGAATCTAAACCACAAAACAGTGGTCGATTTATATTTGTCTATTTACGTACCGATCCCGAAGTGATACGTAAACGAATTAGAAAAAGATAAAAACGAGAAGAGGAAATAATTTTAATGGTAAATTTAATTTAATTATGAAAACAAAACAAAACAAAAAAAATTGATAATTTCCATTCAAATTGAATTTTTACATGAATCAATGTTTATCGATAAACCGGATACGATATGGAATCGATTGGTTGAAGATCCAGCTGTTATCTGTGTGGATGGCAATCAACACATTTGATATTGTTTATGAAAATTTTCTTCATACCATACAAAAAATGGTTCAAACCATTTGATTGAATGGAAAATCATTCAAATGAACACCACCACCACCACTACCACATTTAGTCTTCTGTTCTCAAGGATTTTTTTAACAACATCATTTGATTTGATTGCCTATGTAATGGACAATTTTACTCACTACTATTGGTGGATAGGTAATATATTTTGTATTATTAAATTACTATACTAGACTTTTATGATGAAAACATGCGTCAACATTTTAATAAAATATATAAAATCAGTAAATAAATATATGTGGAAAAACCAGAGAAAAAAAACAAACGACATTTACTACAAAATCAAATATCACCTCACCTTTCAATATCATTAACCAACCAACATAAACAAACAAAAACAATTTCTATTTTATCAAACGAAATGAAATGTTATGGGTCAACCGTAATACTACTTGTTTACAACAATGAAATTATTTAGTTCATTGTCATATTTAAAATGTTGTATATGATAAGACATCCTCTGCTTTCTACCTACCAATCATTAGGTTGGTGACATTTTGACAAACTGAGAAATAAGCATAGAGAGACCTTTATCAACCAGAAACAAAAAAAAATGAAGATGAGGTAAATGTTTGACAAAAAAAATATCAAATCAGTGAAAAAAAGCAATAAAAACTGATTTTTTCCTTGAATAAATTGAGGTAAAATATGATCATACACACACACACACAGATGATGATGATTAATTTAGATGATATTCAATATTATTATGAAAAAAATCGACAATGACGACAAACAGTTTCTAGGCAGTTTCAAATGATTGCTGTTGTTATTTGTATGGGTTTTCGATGATAACCAATGATGATGATGATAAAAATTGTCATAGTAATATATAAGCAAAATTGGATTCAGCATTTAATATATTATCATTAAAATGGGTGTTTCAATAGGTGTTTCAAAACACACACACACACACGGAGAGACATGAACAGAGCGGAAAAAGCTTTATCAACAAAAAAAAACGACAACAACATCGATATATGACATGTTTATCATCATCCTGATCATCAAAAATGTAATGGACAAATGGACAACACAATACAATATACATAGATCAAAATGGACACTGTAAAAACACAATGTTGTCTTGAATCAAAATGATCTGAATTTCGAAATCTTTCATCATTTTTTTTCCAACTACAAATGAACAAAAAAAATTTCCAAAAAGAAAAAAAGTCTTATTCAACAACATTAACAACAAACCACACACACACACAACAATCATTATATTTTAGCCTTCGCGCGCCTATAGCAACAAGGAGAACAAGTGTGTGTGTATGTGTGTTGTATATTTGGTTAATGATGATGATGGTAAAAAAAATAGCTGTATCTTTCTCTCTTACTCAATGCGTGAAAACTGAATCAAAGAAAAAAAATTTTTTTGGGTAAAGGTATTGTGTTTTTATTTTCTTAATAATAATAAAAAAAAAAAATACCAGATACAGAGATAACCAAATGTAGCAATCAATGGCGATCCATAAAAAATAAAAATTTCCACTACACTTACCGTTTCTATGATGTGTTTTGTTTCTTGATTAAATGATGAAATTTTTTTTTCAAGATGTAAACGAAATACAATATGGTTGATGATGGTGGTGGTGGTGGTTTATTTCAAATTTTCAACGAAAAAAAACAATCGTGATTCAAAAAAACTTTAATAAATGTAGATCAACTTGGTTGACAATATTAATAAATCACAACAACATAGGTACATGAAGAAAATATATTCATAAATGATGACAATGTGATGATAATGATGCAATCGTTAGATGAACTGATGCAATAATAAATGTTACATACACACACACACACAAAACAAAAACAATTTTGGGTCAAATGTCAAGAATCAGTTGTTTTTGTTGACGTTTCTATATATTAGTATATATATCGTAGTAGCCAGTACAAATATGATCATGATTTATATATGGACCTGTAAATCTGTCAGTGTTTGTTGTTTAAATGAATGTCCAGAAAAAAAACAATTTAATTTGATGAAAAATATATCAGTAAAAGAAACAAAAATTTTTTTTTTTTTTCACTGACAAAATCCTGGGTATTAAAGTGTTGTTGTTGTTGTTGTTATTGGTGGTGGTGGTGGTGCTAGATCCATTCATTTCAATATGCAAATATAAAAAGATATTTGCGCTTACGCATGAACATAAAAAAAGATGATGATTGCAATAAGTAAAAAAAAAATACAAGTTTTTCATTTTATTCACATTTTGTTTACATTCATCATCAACAGTAACAACAACAACAACAACAACACGATTCGAATGTAAAAAGAGAGAAAGAGAAGGAGGGAGAAAAAGAAAAAATTCAAAACAATGATCAGCTGATGAACGCATGCGTTTCACTCTTCCTCTCTGATCACTTGTTTTTTTTTTGCTTTCAAACAACAACAAAAACAACAATCAATCGATGGAAATGGTAAAATGTACAATTTCCAATCTGTCTTCCTCTGTCTATTTTTCTCTCTCCGAGATGATGTTATTATGATTGCTCCACCTTTCGATGCTAGTGGCTGAACTTTTTTTTAAGTTTGAATTCTATATATACTCAAGATATAGATAGATAGAGAGAAGAAAACGAAGGACAGTAAAAGGAGAGAGAAAGAGCCATTTTATATGCATGTTGTTGTCCATGGATCATGTGATTTCTATTTACAAACAAAAATGTCAGCCATTCGTTGGGCAAGCAAACAAGTAAAAGCTATAGCTGAATGAAATTAGCAAAAGACAAAATGGATGGATGGATGGAACTATCTAGTCAAGTCCAGTTTAAGTCAAGCCAAACCAAAAAAAAGAATGAAATTTTGTGTATCACACAACACAAAAGCGAAAAAATTAAAGGAACAAACTAACTAACTATAAAACTCACCCTCATACAATACTCAATAGCTTCCTCATTCAATTCAATCATCATTTTTTCATCATAATGAACAGAAAACTGAAGACTAATATAATAATAACAAAAAAAAGAAGCAGCAGCAATGTTTCCTTGGTAACAATAATAACAACAACATGCAACTCTCTATTTTGACATGAATGCCATATATATTTTTTTAAAATAAAATATTGGAGATTGGATTTAGTAAAAAGGGGACTCACATGATCATCGTCATCACCCATTATGACGATCATGGTGGTGTAGATGCTTTTTTAGCTGATTGATGCTGAAAATGTTTAGTGATAAATAGAAAAAAAAGATGAAAAAGCCAAAAATGAAAAACAAAGTTGATTCACCATTGTTAATAATGTGCATAACTGATAAACATTAATGCTGATGATGATAATTAGTTCTTGTTAAGCTTTATTCATTCCCGATAATTGATTTTATTAATCGGAAAAAAATTTTAAATTTCTAAAACAAACAAAAAACAAAACGAAATAGAAAAAAAACGCAGAATCTCGAATTTCGAACGGTCGTTTATCCTTGTTTCACGATTCGATTGACAGAAAAAAAAATCTACTGACCTGGCGCCATCTAGCCACCTAGAATGAAAAGACCAATTTTTGTAATCAATCATTCGAGTTGAATTTTGTTTTTGAAAAAGTGAAATTTTTTTTAATTCAAATCAATTATTTAGAATTGTATACAAAGTTTTCAATTCGATTAAAAATTCAATCATCATTTCTTGTCATTGGAATCATCCGTATCCATTGGTTCTTCTTTATCTTTTTTGTTTTTAGCTGAATTATCATCTTTATTCGTATCATTCTTGTTGGATGATGATGATGCTTGTAAACTCATTTGCATTGCATATTGTATCTGTTCATCTTCGGTCATACGTGAAACATCCACTGGTTCAGAATCCATTGGTTCCAATGACATGGCCAATGCTTTTTCCAACATTTCTTCTTCATTAGAACCACCACCACCAGCAGCAGTAGTAGTAGTTTTCGCTGTTTCATTTGAATTTTTTGTATTCACAGTTTTCGAGGCATCATTATTTGCTGAAGATGATGATGTAGTGGTGGTGTTGGTAATGGCCGTGGATGAACTTTGTTCACCTGAAGATTGTCCACCTGAAGCTGATGTTGCAGCTGCTTGTTGTCTAGCTTCCTCTTCTTGTCGTTGTCGTTGTTCTTCCATTGAAACTCTTAAGGCCAATGCTAATTCTGGATCTTCATTTGGATCGATACCAAATTCAAAGCCAGTACCACCAAGACCAGCTGCACCTGAACCATCTTCGCCAAGTATAACTGGTGAACTGAACAATGCATCCGACAGTAATGAACCAGATGGTACTGTAACCATATGTGATGATGTACCTTCCAATACTTTGATGAAAGCATATAGCTTATCTGTGTTCGATATTTCTTCACCAAAATTAACAATATCAACATTGACTTTTTCTTTTTTCAATTTTTTAGCAATCTTGATCAATTCTCTTTCCTCGGTTTCAACTGGTGATCCAATAAATGCTACGATTCGCATTTTATGATTTTTTCCTTGTCGATGTTTCAATGCAAGATGAGCAATCTTAATACCAGTCAATAGATTTGCTTCACCAGATATTTGTACTTGATGTAATTTACCAAGAACACGTCCAACATCGGTGGTTAATGTGGTCAACACCTGCGGATTACCGGCCATAGTTAACAATGCTACATTGTTCTCTGGATTTGATCGTAGTTTAGCATGGCAAACAAGTGATACGGCATCTTGTTGTGCTTGTAATCGTGATGGTACAAAATCACCATTACGCATAAATTCACTGTTATCCACGCTGTAAAAAAAAAAATTGAACAAATGAAATCAATCACAAATCAGAATAAAACTTACCAAACGATTGTACTTTCAAGAACCATTTTTGTTTCAAAAAATTTCAGCTAAATCAAGCTTTATTGAGTTATTAATGTGACAGATGAAAAATGGATAAAAAACAAAAAATATTTTCTGCTGATTCACAGCCAGACAAATTCATAGAATATGTATCCAAAAAAATAACACGCAAAAATTGAAACGTTGTTTATAAATGGTCCCCCAAATCACACTAGCTAGCGCGAGCATGTGCAGCATACATTTGTTCAATAAAAGAATCGCTGACTTCCTTTTTGTTCAGGCCTCTGTGTGTGTGTGTGTGTTTGTGTTTGTGGCACATGTTTTTCTTTTTGTTGACCAAAAAATTTTAATTTTCGATAAATTCTCATCGTAAAAAATGGCTAAAATGAACAAATTGATTTCCTCTTCAAGAAGAAAGGCACGTAAACGTCATTTTAATGCTCCATCGCATATTCGTCGCCGTATTATGAGCTCACCATTGAGCAAAGATTTACGACAAAAATATGGTGTTCGATCGATGCCCATCCGAAAAGATGATGAAGTTCAGGTATGTATTTTTGTCTAAAAATTCATCTAATAAAAAAAAACTACCCATTTCTGTGCATACAAAAAAAAGGTTGTTCGTGGACATTTCAAAGGAACACAATTTGGCAAAGTTGTCAGTGTTTATCGTTCCAAATATGTTGTCTATATTGAACGTGTTCAACGTGAAAAAGCCAACGGTGCCACCGTTTATGTTGGTATTCATCCATCAAAGGTATTTTTATTCAAAATTCATTGTTAAATTTTTAACACATGAGGTTTTCCAAAACACTTTACAGGTTTTAATTGTCAAATTGAAAATGGATAAAGATCGTAAAAAGATTTTGGATAGGCGTGCTGCCGGTAAACGTATCGCCGAAGGAAAAGCAAAAGGAAAACATACAGAAGAATCTGTAGCAATGGAAACTTCTTAAATCTTTTTTCATTTGAAAACAAACCTTATTTTGCAAATAAACCAATTTTCAAAAAAAACAATTGTTTTCAATTTGAAAAAAATTTTATTTTTTATTTGTTAAAAAATGAAAAAATCGTCATTCATTCATTAATTAAACTTCATAACCATAAGAAGTGATCACTTCACGTAAAGCCGTTGTTCTATCGGCTACCATTTTCTTGGCTTGCAAACGAAGTTTTGATTCGGTCATTTTTCGATTATGATGTAAACTGGCTTTAGCCTTGCGTTTCATTTCCAATGTTTCGATAACTTTTTGATATTTCCAACCAACTTCATGCGATAATCGGCCCACTGAACAATATTTACGGCGTGGATTCAAACGAAGAATTCGCAATGCAGCTGGAACAACCAGACGTTTTTTCTTATCGAACGGTGGCGGTATACCTTCACATACACGAAGACGTTCGAGTGCCAAATCACCACGTTTAGTTTTATGCGGCAACATACCACGAACGACACGCCAGAAAATTTTCGATGGTGCACGGAAATGATATGGACCACGTGCAGGATTTACATTACATTTTTTACGTAAAAATGCCAAATATTTGAGTTTATTTCGGTAAAAGCTACCCGAAATGTTGATTCCTTCACAACGGACAACAATAATTTTTTGTCCTTGCAACAATGATTTTGCAACGATAGAAGCAAGTCGACCAAGAAGATGACCACGACCATCGATAATCAAAGCTTTATTCTTGAAACCAGGCATTTTTGGAACACAAAATCAATTAGAAACAATGAAACAGAAAAAAAATCCAGAATACACGAGTCAAACACACACTCACACAGCAAAACACAAAAAGGAAGAGCTGCACACGTTGAAAACATTTTTGATTGTATCGATTGTTCAAAAAAAGTATCGATATTTGAGCGGCGACTATTTTCATATTTATTTGTTGTTCGGATCAAAATAGACAACAACAAAATCAAATTGAATTTTTTATTTACAAACAAACAAACAAACAAAAATATGGGTAAACATAAACATAAAAGTAAATCTAAAAAAATGAAAAAACATAAAAACTCCAAATATGATAAATCATCAGATTCTGATTCAGATGATTCTGCTGCTGAGATTGTATGGACCGAATCTGTATGTGATAATGAAGTTCAAGCCAAAGAATCTATCAATAATGATCAAGGTGAAGATTTATTTGATTTTATAACGAAAACTTCGAAAAATAACACGACAAAACAAACTGTTGCTGATAAGAATAAAAACGAAATTGCCAACAACGAACAACGGATTCGGTATTCACGTGAATTGAATAGCTATTTTCGTGATGATATCAACAAACGATTCATTGATGATCCAGATGAATTGAAAAAGATTCATGAATCTCAGAATGAAGAACAAGTTGAAAAAGAAGAAGAAGAACCTGAAGAAGGTGACGAGAATGTCAGCGATGCTGAATTGAATTCTTTAAATGCTAAATTATTGAAAGCAGAAATGCTTGGCAATACCGAATTGGCCAATGAATTGAAAGCGAAACTTGATCAATTAAAACGTACAAAATCTACAAAATCCGTTAAATATGTAAATAAAACCATCAAACAAAAGGACGAAAAAACCGAAGATTCAATGTCTGTGAAAGAATTGTATCTAAAAACGAAAAACATAACAGCACGTGAAGAAGCAATGCGTTTTGTGGCTACAACATCGAAAATTCGTACCACCGATGATGAATATGACGGTGTTCGTGGCGCAAAAAAAGCTAAATTCGATACCGTTGGTTTTGAACGAATTCGTTTTACCGCCAGCAACAATGATGATTATAAATGTGATTGGTGTTTGGAATGTCGAAAAGCGAATCGTCATTTGATATTGAAATTTCCCGAACAATTATCGCATTGTTATGCAACATTAACATCATATAAACCATTGATCAATAATGTTTGTATGATTGTATCAAGAAATCATTCTTACAAATGTAGCCTAGAAGCTGATCAAGATAGTTGGACAGAAATACGACAAATGATGCGAAAATTATCTGGATTTTTCAACAATTACTACAACTGCATCACAGTATTTATGGAGACATTTTTCGTGAATAAAAAACGAAATCAAAATCTATCCAATCATCATTTTGTCATTGAATGTTATCCGATTAAAAAACGTTTCGAAACCGATGCTAAAATCTATTTCCATGTATGTATCATTCATCATGTGTAGTTGATAATATGATGAAATTGATTGAAATTTTCTTTCTTCTTTTTTTTGACGAAAATAGAAAGCTATACTAGATTGTGAACAAGAATGGTCGATTAATAAAAAATTGATTAAATTGGAAAAAAATCCAATTACACGAAAATTACCGAAAGGTTTAGCCTATTTTTGGGTTAGCATTGGTCCAGATTTCGATGGTTATGGTCACGTTATCGAAGATGAAGATTATTTTGATAGAAATTTTGGAAAGGTAAAGTTTTCACAATTCAAATATTAAATAAATGTTAATCAAATTTTTCAAACAGGATATAATATTCGGAATGTACGATGTTCAGCCTCGATTAAAATCAAGAAACGAAAATTATGATGAACAAATGAAACGGATAAAAGAATTGAAAACAAAATGGAACGACGATCAAACATGATGATTGATTGATTGATTTTTTTTAATTTATAATGATTTTGTACCACAATTCCAAAAAAACATAAAATTTTTTTTCTATTTTATAGATTGCAAGTATTTTTTTGTAACTTTCCACATATGAATTTGGTTCCATTTTTATTGATTTGAATTTGAAAATGTTTTTCTTTTCCAAATTTTTTGTTTTTATTATCAAAATAATAATAATTCATCAACATTTTTTTTATAAATTGATTCAAATTACATACTAATGCTTCGTAGTAGTGGTATATTATATTTAGTTTAGAATTCTAAAATGGAAAAAAATCTGTTGAAAATTAGAATTGAAATCAAAAAAAAAAAAAAACTAAAATCGATGAATGAATACACATGTTTGAATGAAAAACAGTAAAAAAAATCACACATTTTGAATTATAATGAGATGGAAAGAGATTTATATATAAAAAATAAAATAAAATAATGATGATGATTTGATGATGATGATTGACATTCGAAAAAAATAGTAATATACTTTATGAATGAACCAATGATGATGATGATTTTATCTAATAATCTCACTATTTCTATATATAGATAACAATGGTATATAATAATAATCGCTAAATGAATGTGAAATGTAAAAAATGAGATTCGTGAAAAAAAATATTAATGATGATGATGATGAGATGCTTATGGAACAATGATAATGTTCAAAAAAGAGTGTAATATTGATTGTGTTTGTTTCAAAGTGATCAACACATTTGAAAATTACACATTGATTTCTATGAAGAAAAACAATTCATAATGATGATAAAAATCACTACCGTATTGATTAAAAATGACTGAATAAATGTTAAAAAAAAATAATAAAATCAGTGTGTGTGTGTGTGCGAATTTGTTTGTCCTGTCATTCATTTTGATTCTTAAAACTATTTCTTTTTCTTATTCTGTGGTAATAAAACAACATAAATAGGTTGATTATTGGATTTATCACCACCATTGTTAATGATACTGGCGTCTTTATTCAATTCATCTAATGATGATATAATTCGTACATTATTTGCTTTCGTAACCGGTAATAATCTTGTTGATGATTTAATTGAATTATTATTATTCTTCCTTTTATCATTAGATGATCGTTTTGCTGCTGTTTTCGTTGATTTTGGTATCGATGACTTTATTACGTTATTTGTTGTTGTTGTTGTTGCTGCTGCTGCTGTACGACTTTGTATTACACCCAATATATTTGTCAACATTTCTCTTCGTTCATCATCGGTAAGATTATTTACATCAAAATTACTTAATAATGCATCACCATCTATTACTTTAGGTATTGCTGCTGCTGCTGCTTCTGCTGCTGTATTTTTTGGTGATTTATTTACAATCAAAAATGGTGATGTTGTCGTCATATCAATCAAATCGGTCACCTTTTCACCAATAGAATTTATGTCAATTATTGGTCTCAATGTTGTACTAGTGCCAGTACGTTGAAAAAATGGCGGTATTGTTTTTGATTGCATATTTAGTACCGGTGTTTTTAATCGTACCTGTGTTACATTTCTAACCGTTGTTGTTATAACATTTGTTGGCAATCGTCGACGACCATTTATTACACCTGTTGAATAATAATAATAAAAGTAATATAATCATCACATTAGTAAATAATTCATTCATTTAATCAATGAAAATAAACTAAATCACTACTAATATACTACTACAACCTTTGATACCGTTTTTTGGTTTCATTGTCGTTGTTTTCATCTTTTGTGTCGTCGTCGTCGTGGTGGTTGTAATGTCATTTTCTTCACTTTGATCTTGTTCCGATTGTTCATCATCAACATCATTTTCATTATCCGGTTCTTCGATTGGTTCATCGAAACCATCTAAAACATTTATTGGTAATGGTGTTGTGGTTGTCACTCCAAGTGCTTCTTGTAATGCTTTAATCATTGCTTGTACTAATTCAGGTGAAACGGTTACATTATTATTGCCAGTTACATTATTATTATCTACTGCCGTTTTTTCATCATCATCTTCATCATCAACTTCATCATTGGTTTGTTCTTGTTCTTCATTCGATTTTTGATTGTCTTCATTTTCTTCCTCATCTTGATCATTATTTTTATCTTCATCTTCATCAGCTTCTGATTCATTATTTGTTTCATCTTCATTGCCTTCAATGATTTCTTCATCAGCTCCACCACCATCACTATCGATTTCTTCAGATTCCGATACACTTGATTCAGTGGTTGTCGTTGTCGATGTAGTTGAACTTTCTTGTTGTTCTTGACTACCACCACCAGAAATATCTTCTTCCACTTCTTCACCACTAGCCGATTCAATATCACTTGATTCGGTTGTTGATGTAGTGGAAGAAGATTGATCATCCACTTCTTCAGTACTAGATTCTTCGACACTTGTCGATTCACTGGTTCCATTCTCTTCTTCTTCACTAACTTCTGAACTACTTGGTGCTTCAGTGGTTGTCGTTCTTCTTCTTGTCGTTGTTGTTGGCCTTGGTTTCGGTGTCGTTGTTTCCGACGTACCGTACGGCGGTTCATGTGTCCAACCAAAATCATCAACTTCTGGACCATAATTGTAGCCATAATAACTATCATAATTATAATATGGTTTCGCTGTAGTTGTTGTATCCATAATAATTTCCATATGTGTTTTAAATATATGATCTTTTTTCTTTTTTTTCAATTCTTCATCTTGCATTGCTTGTTCAGTTTTATTCAACATTTTAATGGTCACTCGTGGTCTTATATCCAATATGACACGTGCTTTCTCTTCTTTTGTACTGCCACCTTGATGTTTAATAGTACGATGACCAAAACGTTTACTTTGTTCATAATCAAAACTATTCTGACTAAAACCGGTGATTGATGTTATATTTTTTGGATAATAATAACCAGAAGATGTTTTGTTCTTTTTGCCACCATAATATGATTCATAATATTTTTTAGCATAATTATAATAATTATTATAATAATTATAATAATATGGATTATTATAATAATAATTGAATGCATTCCAATAATTTGTTGCATTATAATGTTGACCATTCATTGTATTATTATTGAAGAATGAATAACCGGCACCACTTCCTGGCATCATATATTGATAATAATTTTTACTTGCATCATTATTGTTCATCAACAATGGTGATAATAATGCTGTATAATTGTATGGCTGTATTGCTGCTGAATATTGTTGTTGTTGTTGTTGTTGTTGTTGTGGATATTGTTGACTTTCAGATGTTTGCATCAGATCATAGCTATAGTATTTATTTGAATTTCTTTTCATACTATACAATGCTTGTGGTTTTTTATTATATGATTTTCTTGGTTGCAATGAATTTAATGTTAACATATCTTTTTGATAATTTCTTGATCCGGATGATCGTTTATAACCACCAATATGGCTATTACTATTATCAATCATTGTTGTTGTTGTTGTGGTCATTGGTTTAACCTGATTATGATGATGATGATGATGATAGTTAACCACTTGTTGCTGTTGCTGACCTGGTAATGATGATGGTTGCCATATTGTTGATGATGGTTGTGATGTTTTCATTATCTGACCCATTGGACTAATATTTGAACCATAAATGGTTGATAATTGTGATTGTGTTTGTGATGATTGTGATGGTTCCATTGAATATGATGCCGATACAGGCATACTCATATAGTTCATTGGTGGTGATGATAATGATGGTATCGTATTTGTTTTCTGCATATTCATTGTACTTGCTGCATATTGTGAATAGCCTGGATATTGTGGATGATTTGTTGGCGGTGGTGGTGCCGGTGCCTGTGGTGCTGGTGGTGGTCTTGAATGTTGTTGTGAATGCATCGATTGAACCGGATTTGGTGGTGGTGGTGGTGGTGGTACATTATTATTATTATGATTGGCATACATCGATGTTGCATTCATCATATATTGATGATAATTTTGTGGATATTGTTGATAATAATTATAATAATAATTATATGGATATTGATAATAATGTGGATGATAAGGTGAATAATATGGATACGAATATGGATAACCGTATGGAAACATTGATTGATTAAAATGACCCATCATCATTGTCATATTATGTATACCGGGCATCGTTTCATTATTCATTGTTGATTGTGTTCGATTCGGTTTATCAAATGGTTCTGGTGGTCCAAATATATCATCCTGTATAACTTCATCCTCTAAACCAGGTTTTTCTAATGGATCTTTTGTGTTTGTCGTAATTTTTACCTTTGGACTGGAATTAATTTTCATTTTCATTTTTGGTGGATGTTGATTATATTCCACCACTTTTTTACCAGGTGATGGCATTACCATACTGAATACTGGTTGATAATAATCATAATTTTTGTAATTACTTCCATAACTAATACCATATCCGTTTGAATTATAACCACCACCACCACCACCATATGATGATGAATATGATGGATAACCTTCTGAACCACTTTGAGCATAACTACTTCCACCAACACCACCACCACCACCACCGCCGCCGAATGAGAAACTTAAACCAGATCCACCAGAATTTCCTCTACCCAATGAAAGGGACATTCCACGACCATCACCATTGTTACCTCTTCCAATATTCAATGACATTCCTGAACCAGGACCTCCATTACCGCCAAATGAGAAACTTAAACCTCTTCCACCACCATTGCCAGAATCGTGGCTATAATGTTGACTTTGTTCGATGGTTTGTGCAGAATAACTTGATGGTTCACTTGATTGTGGTGTATCGCCAAATGAAAGTGTCAATCCTCTTCCATTGACCGGATCTCCAATTGAAAATTGTCTACTGGATGCTTTATTATATTGTTGATAATGAGGATCGTGATTGGCATAAGAATTGGCATATTTTGTTGCTGTTGTTGACGTTGTTTTTACAAAATTAGATGCTGCCGGAACTTGACGTGATGTCGATGAATCCTGTATAGAATTTGTATTACGAACAACATGATGAAATGGATTCGATTTTGGTCGTGCAAAATAATATGAACTACTAGTCGAATCATCATCCAATGCTTCTGGATTTGGTTCAAACCATGATCGGAATATTTTTTTAATTGGTTTTTTAAATGGTGATTTTGGTATCAATGATTTAAACAATGATTGTGATGATGATGATGATGATGATTCACCATCACCATAATCATCTTCATATGATCGTCTTTGGGCACTTTGTGATGATGATGATGATGATGATAACGATGGAAAAATAAATTGACTAATAATTGTATTATTTTTTGGCACTATTCTTTCATTATTATCATTATTGATTGTTCTATTGTTTACTAATTGATGTTGAGAATTTTGTTGCTGAGAATCATCAATAAGGAATTGACCACCAACACTGACGCCTTTTCCAGAATCATTATTCAATTTTGTTGACCAACTTGGTGGACATAATAATAATAATAATAGCAATAACTTTAATGTTGATGATGATGATAGTAAAATAATTGTATCCGTTCTGCTGGTATAATATTTCATCTTTGATCGATAATCATTGATTGATTTTTGTTTTCTATCGTTGTTGTTATATTTGAATCTGTGAATGAAAAAGAAAACGAAACGAAACGATGTCCATTGATTAATAATTAGAAATTGTAAAAAAAAAATTTTCAAAACTTTTAATTTCCTAATATGAGCAAATTATGATAATGTTGAATATGGTATGTAAAAATAGATTTGGATTTAGTTGTTGTTGTTGTTGTTGATCACCAATATAACAAGGTTGATGATCTTTGATTCAGTTTTTTTTCCCATTGCTAATTGAAGATAGATAACTACAGAGAGAAAGTTGTGTATATATCAATTAAATGAATAATCAATCCGAAACGTTTAAATTTTTTGAAAAATTTTCGTTTTCTCTTTCAAAACCATCTTTTTCGGTTTTTTTTTTGAAAATTTAACTTGTTGTTGTTGTTGTTTACCAATAATATTTATATGCGCATGTTATGATAATCATCTGATCATCATCATTGATCTGCATTTGTTGTTGTTGTTGATGAAACATTGATCCAGTTTGACAACCAAAAAACGAAAACAAAAACAAAAATTACCCTCGACACTGATGATTTTCTCTTTCAGATTTTTTTCGTTTGGTCTCTCCGTCTCTATAGTCATTCGACAGAATAATTTGTCTCTACATTATCAAGTGTTCGTGATGATAAGTGAATAGATTGGCTTTCTCTTATGATTACTAAATCACTATTAATATATACACACAGTAGCAGCCGCTGCTGCCGATCATTGATAATAATCACACCCATCATCATCATCATCATTATAATAAAAAACCCACACGCAGGCACAGGCATTGTCTTTAAAGGATTAACAAGCAAACAAAAAAAAAGGATTGTTTGTCTTGTTATCTTTTCATGATGATAAATAAAACAAGAAAAAGTCATCATCATCATCATCATCATCATCATTCCATTGACCTGATTGTTAGCGAAAAAAAAAAAAAAAAATTTTGGGCCGCTTTCTAGGTGATTCGGCAAAAAAAATCTTTTCATTTACTCATTATACTGATGTTTAGGTTTTTTTTTTTGGTTTAGCATCCATTAAGATGATTCATCAGAGGAAAAAACCAGAGAATGAGTGAGTGAGAGACAAAAACCCAAGTTTGATGAATGTGAAAAAAAACGTTTTCTGTTTTCATTTCATTTTTATATATTAGATGATGATGATGATGATGGAAAAAAAAATTGATGAAGCAAAAACATAGTAGACACATGAACAAATAGTGAATCAAGATGATGATAAGATTAATAATGTGATTTAAAAGGATTCTGTTTTATATTAATTCGTATTCTCGTTTACTATAGAATAAAAATTGTTCACAAATGGATTTTTCTTTCTTTTTTTTCATCTTTGAGAATGAAAAATCTGATGAATTTTTTTTTTCGTTTATTTTGTTTGGTTTTTGACGATGATGATGATTATTATTCTGGATTTATGATTTTTTATTTTCATTATGTTTGATAAAACCCAAAAACAGCAAAAAGAAAAATTTTGTATCAAATTCATTCATTCATTCATTCATTTTTTTCCAATGTGTGAATAATAAAAATAAATGTGACATTTATAAATGAGAAATACGGAGAAAACAAAAAATGGAAAAAATGAACGAAAGAAATGTCAAAATCACTCAACATTTTGTGCTCTGATTTTCACATCCTGAACATATATATTTATAATATAATCTCGGATCGGATATCTCAAATGGATAATTAATTATCATGAAAAAGGAAACTAAAAACAAACAAAATTTTTCATTTTTTTTTATCCGCAAGTATAAACTCTATAAATGTTGAAAAATATCAAAGATAAAAGATATACAGATCTCGGATGATGATGGACCGGGAAGGAAGAAAATTATCATCATCATTCAAATGTAATCCAGACGACGACAACGACGACGAAAACGAATGAATCCAAAACTAATGAATGATAAATTATATACAAGGGGAAAACTTTCGATTTTTTTCCCACTACTACCACTGCTATCATCACCACTACTAATAATAATGTCAACAATAACGTAAAGAGATGTTTATCATCCATCAACAATCCGATTAATGTATTTTTTTTCGTTTTCGTTTTCGTTTTTGTTTCACAAATCAATCGATATCGATGAAATATAACAGTGTGTGTGCGTGTGTGTGTATTTTTAGCAAAGAAAAAAAAAGATCAGCGTTTTTTGTCTCTCGATCCATTCATTTCGTTCACCTGCATATATCGATTTCGGTATATGATTCGAATTCATTCGATTTTTATTTTCGCTTTGCACACGATCATCATGATGATGATGGAAATACATTTGACCCACCCAAAAAAAATGTTCAACTAGTTCCAAGTTTATTTTTCCCTTTTACTAATGATGATGTTTTTGTTTTGTTGTTGTTGTTGTTGTTGTTTGGGTTAAGATTATCTCATCATCATCGAATAAAATGAACAAAAAAAAACACAATGGCCACCTAGAATAGAATGGTGGTCCATTCAATCTCATGAAGGAAAAAATGATCATGATGATCATCATCATTTTCGATGTTTAATCCAAAAGCCACGATCAAAACTATGAAAAAGAAGCTATTCTCCGTATCATTATCATTTCCAAACGAGATTTTTTTTTCATTTTTCGTTGTTTTTTTTCCTGTTCATATGACGATATAATACCACCTTAATGTACAAGGTAGTATTTCAATAGAAGAAATATTAGAAGAAAAAACAACAACAACAACAACAACAACAAACAGACAAAAAAAAACTATATAAAATCTTCAGTCAAATCATCATTATTATGTATCAATTTATGTAATGCTAAACTAGATCGATAAATCATAGATTATTGATCGATTGATTGATTTGTCACAATAATGATCATCATCATCATTTCAGTGCAGAATAAAGAAAAAAAAATGAAAACAATCAATTGAGATATAATGTAAATTTTCTTTTTTTTTTGGCCAACCGAAAAAATAAAATTCAATTTTTGTTTGAAAAAAAATTTATTGATTTTTTTTGTTCTCATGGAATATGATGATGAGTGTTTGCAACACAAGTATAGATCATATATATTGATTATTGATAATTGAAGAAATGCGAAAATAAAAACTTTAAAAGTGTCTCATTGTGTGTGTTTGTTTCGGATATTTGAATCGTATATGACCAAGGCAATTTGAACAAAAACAAGATCGAGACCACGAAAGTCATTTTGAATTTTTTTTTCTCTTTTTTATTCCGTTGATGCAGAATGGACAATGGTTTCAAGTTTCAATTGCAGTGGCTTGTTGTTGTTGTTGTTTTTTTTGTTGTTGTAATGGAAAACATTGTACATCGTACATTGTCATTTATTCAATAAATGAATTGTTGAAGAAAAAAAATTTTATTTTCCTTGATTGGTTTTTGATTGTTCAACGTTATTAAAATGATCACATAAAAAAAATACCAAAACAGAACGAAACCGAAACCCTACACGATCAGAAAAAAAAGAATCAAATGTTCAAGTGTCGTTGGTTGTTTGTTTGTCTAATGATTTTTATGGTTGATAGAAAATCACGAATGATGATGATCAATATTGAACAACAACAACAACAGCAGCAACAAAAACAAAAAAACAAAAAAACTTTTGGCTATTCCAAGCAAAGAAAAAAAAAATTTGTCTTGACCATCAAAATATAAGAAATTGAATTAATGAATTTCTTGTCATTTTTTTTTGTTTTGACATTTTTTTTAACATCATCATCATAATATAATCAAACACATCCTGTAATGTGATAAATATTTGAAAATGAAAACGAATTTGTATTCGCTCATGCAAATTTCGTTGCTTTTTTCTCGCTCTGGTTCTAGTTCTGGTTCTGGTTCTGATTCTAGTTCCTGGGTCTTGGGTTTGGTTTTCTTTACGTTTGTTGCCATTGCTGTTGGATGCAGTTTAATGTGAATATACAAGAAAAAAAAAATCGAATTCTACAGAATGGAAAAGAATTTTTTTTCTTTTTTTTTTTCTTTATTCTTGTTTCCTGAAAAGTTATTCACCAAAACGATGCACACACACACACACACATCCAAAACCGGAATTTCGAAATGTCTACACATATATATATTCTTATTATTATGAATGTCTATTTTTGCTGCTGCTGTTGTTGTTGTTGTTGTTGACAATGTTGGTGGAAATGGTATTTACATTTTTTTTTTGCTTGTATACTCTCATTGCATTTCAAGTATTTGAATTCGAAATTCAAACAGGAAGATAAAAAAAATGCATTCTTCAATCGAACGACAACAACAATGACCAATCGTGAAAATTGATCCTATTACAATTGTGTGTGTGTGTGTGTGCGTTTGTTTGGAGAGAGAGAGAGAACGAGAATGAGAAAACCATTTCACAATGGAAAAATATATTATGGATTTGAATTTAGAGTTTTTTTTCCATAAAAAAATGTATCCGATCATTGATGATTATTCGATGAATATTTTTTTCCTTTTACTATGTGAATTTATATAAACGGAGAAATTGCCCAAATTCTCCATGTCATTTATTTATTCTTTCTCTCTCTCTCTCCCTTTTTTTGTCAGAAATTCCATCATCCATATTAACATTTTTTTAGAATTGAAAGAAATTCAAATTTTGTTGTTGTTGTTGTCACCGATAAGTTGAATGTCATTTTATTGTGCATTCGATGGTTAGGTTAAGTGAAGAGGAGGTAAATTTCTGTTCGACAAGAGAAAAACTGAAACAAATCATCGATATTGTCATTACGAATTGTAAAACACACACACACACAAGAATTTGATGACAATGTCTACCTTTTCCAAAAAAAAAAAAAATAATAATCATATACTTATCGATACGAATAGAAAAAAAAACGACAACGTCAATTAAGAATGATAGAAAGAATCATCATCATTCATGAAAAGACAGAATAAGAGAAAGAGAGAAATTGGTTTGTGTGACTGTAATAATTTGGCAAAACGAAAAATAAAAAATAAAAAATAAAAATAAAGATAGTTGACAGTCTAAATATATTTATAGACACACATACGCACACACACACACACACACACAAAAAAAACACGCAAAAACGTGATCAGAATTTCTTGTTTCCCTGAAGACAAAAAAAGAAGAAGAAAACCGTAGAAATTCTTTTTGGTGTGAAACAAACCAACCAACCAACCAACCAATTGGTTTACAACGATTTAACGATAACAAAAACGAAACAAAACTGAAACAGAAACAGAAAAATTGGATAATGAATGTGAACGATAATGAATCGACCACAATTTATAAGCAGCGGAATAAAATGTCCAAATGTTCAACACAAATTAACCTATAGTGAAATAATTATCATTATCGTTGTTTAATGACAATTACAAAATGATGATGACGATGATGATGACGATAATTCCAAATTCACACATTAGCTTCATGTTTATTCTAGTTTTGAATTTTCAAAAAAATTTTGTTTTCAAAATTTTCTTGTTCTTCTTTTGTTTTGTGTGTGTGTGTGTGTGTGTGGCTAAAAATACTATGAATGAATCACAGTCCATTACGCTAAAAAAAAATTTTACGACACAAAAAAAGAGAGATAATCTCTCTCTCTCTCTCTCTCTCTCTCTTTCTGGAAAATCTAAACCGAACACCATCATCATCATCATCATTTGCTAAATTTAAAAACATATTTTTATTTCATACACACACACACACGCAAACTATAGCCATTGGTGAACGAAAAAAAAAACCCCTGAAACCAAAATTGAACTGTTTTTTCGTTTCGTTCAAAAATCATCATTATTATTATGATTACAAAAAATCTCAAGAGTTGTGTATTTGGAATAAGAAAAAAAAAATTAGATAGTATGGACAAACAAGCAAATTGCAATTGCAATGAATGAATTGATAATGATGATGATGATGACCAGAAAAAGAAAATCAGATCCAATTTCTTTCGCCCTTTTCTTTTCTTTTTTTTCGCCGTCATGGTCTTTTTTTTATCCAAAATGTTGATTCATTAATTTATTGATCATCATTAGATTCAGTTGATTTATTATCGAGAAATTTTTTTTTCTTCTCTCTGTTTCTCTGTTTTGTTTTGTTTGGCACAAGATTAGTCAACGTTATTATATAATCGTATGTCTTTTTTTCCCCACGATAAAAAAGGGTAAAAGTTTGCGTCTGGTGTACGAGTATGAGATGAGATATGAGTGATAATAATCGATTGCCAGAAACAAATATTTTTTTTTTTGATAATCAATCAACGACGACGATATATGCCAAATCATCAGAAAAAAAAAAAAATGAAATGAAATGAAATGATCTCACACCACCGCCGCTTATCGTCGTGATCGATCAATAATAATATCGTATAATATTTATTATTATCGATACTGAATATATAAATAAAATCTGTATGATGATCGATAATAATCTGATTTCTTTTCACCATTCTTTTTGTTGTTGTTGTTGTTGTTGTTGCATTCAATCATGATAATAATCACAGCTATAGATGATTAGAAAATGATTTTCTTCTCTCTCTCTCACTCTCTGTTATTCATAATTCACCGATTACAATGCAGATTTTTTTTGCACTTTTACACACAAACAAAAACAAAATCATGATGAAAGCAAGAATACCACCTTGATCTTTATTGTTATTGATCATTTTCATCATCATCATCATCATCATCACACACACACATTTCATCAATCTAAATTGGTGCAAAAATATTCATTGTTTGTTTATTTGTTTGTTTTTTTGCAATGATGATAAACACCTTTTTTGTGTATTGGAATTTTTTTCTTTTTTATTTTCAATTCAAAATTGCCTTTTGGCTTTTTACACACACACACACACACACACACAACAATAACGGAGAACCAAAATAAAAACGATTAGCTTATTGTTGTCATCGAAAAATAGAAAAACAAAAATCAATGGACAAAAAAAATAATGATAATGATAATGGCTATTATCATTATCATCATAATCTCTCTTTCTCTCTCTCCCTCTTTCATTGGCATTTTGTCATTGATTTTGCCATAATGGAAACAAAATATCATTGTCATCAAATAAATTGGGTTGATCAAAGAAAAAAAAATTTTTTGATTAAAGTTTTTTGACACCATTGAAAATGCTTTAAATGCATTCAAAGAGGGCTAGATTTAGCGGTGGTTGATGGGAATTGAAATCTTTTGATGTTTGTTTGTTTGTGCTGGTATCCGTTAATTTTGTTTTCGTTTTCGGTTTTTTTTTCTTTGTCAACAGATAAACATCACGCACACAAACACACACACACATATTATCTAAATGAATCTATTTTCGATCTCTCATTATTTATAATGAATCTATTTATATGAAATGAAATTAAATTAAATGTTTGTTTGTTTGTTTTTCATCCTCATTCCAAACAAAATTCAATCAGTAATGATTATCGATTAATGAATGAATGAACGAATTTTGTCTTGAAATAATTTCAAATCACATCTCGATTATCATGGGCCAAAAAAACCAGGTACATTGTGTGTGTGTGTGTGTGTACAAGATATATTCGATATATTGAAACTTACCTACTACTGATCAATAATTTAAATGTTTTGTACGATTCGGTTGTTGATGAATTTAATTAAAAATCAGATTATTTATTAGTAAGATCTAATGACCGTGTTTAAAAATCCGGTATCATTCAATTGATGATGATGATGATGATTATGGTTGTTGTTGTTTTTTCTGTTGAAAATAATATGCTTTAATCACTTGATGATAATGATCGATGATCAGCACCATTTTCGTTTTGTTTTATTTTCGATGATGATGATACAATTAATCATTGATTTAGGAACAA